GCTGTAAAGTTGCTTTGCAATGATTTGTATCGTGAAAAGCGCTATACAAATAAACTTGAATTTAATTTAATTTAATTCGCGAGACCACGTGATTTGCCTGTCAGATGCTGTTTGGTTCCTCATTGTCCTTGTAAAAAGGATTTGTGATGTCATATAACACAATGTGTTTTTGTATTTCGAGGATGAACCGCTCGTCATCCATTTCTGGCCTCCTGCCAAAGATATGTGACCGTGAAATATGATCAGGAGTCTGCACAGGGTGTTTATTTTGAAATTGACATGATTTTTTGACTTTTATTTTGTATTTGCTGTGCGGTTTGGACGCGGCGTCCGTCAAAAATAGACTAGGCGCCTATCTTTAGCAAAGCGCTCCTGGGACGCTTTTGAAACGTGTCGCAGCGCGTCTGGTGTAAACACAAGCATTGACTAGAATGACCGCGATCAGTTCCGGTAGCCGCGTCGGAGCCGTAACGCGCTGCAGACGTGTGCAGTGTAAATTAGGGGTGAGTCAACACCATGCTTTTCCAATGAGGGGGAAAGGACTGTTTTCCCCCACACCGACTCCGCCCAGACAACAGGGTGTTTATTTTGAAATTGACATGATTTTTTGACTTTTATTTTGTATTTGCTGTGCGGTTTGGACGCGGCGTCCATCAAAAATAGACTAGGCGCCTATCTTTAGTGAAGCGGCGCGGAGAGCAAATTTTTGTGTACTGTACAGACGGTAAGGGAGATATTGGAAGTATTGTCTGAGGCAAGATATTGGCAAAATATATTCAGCCAGTTTGCCCACTAGGCACTTACTATAGCCCTGTAAAGATTAATTTGAATGAATTATTGGACTTCGGTTTGTACTGTGAGGTAAATTTGCAGACGGTCCCTAAAGCAGCCTAGGCGAATATGCAGCGAATATCAAACCTAAAACCAGTGGTGTATTGTAACGAAGTAATAATACTTCGTTACAGTACTTAAGTATTTTTTGGGAGTATCTATACTTTACTTGAGTTTTTATATTTCAGCCAACTTTTACTTTTACTCCACTACATTTCCTAATTAAAATGTATACTTTTACTCCGATACATTTCCCCGAAGCATATTCGTTACTTACTACAAAATAGTCAGAAGTCAGAAGAACACGGACTCCAGGAAAGCACGTTTGACGAATCAGTGGTCTGGCGTCTGCAAGTTAGACTCCTAAAAACACCTTTGCTCGTGCAAACAAGTGCGCGCACAACCGCGGATGATTCATTTTCCACTCAAGTCGAGGTTGGGGCGTGCGATACAGTATCGTCTGCGATAATATGGTAAGTGTCGTAATGATCTGACATTATCAAGTATATCACAGAGAGTGCACTCACGTGATTTATTAGTCTATTAAAACTAAAAATTCAAGGCATTCTAAATTGTAGATGCTTCTGTATGCTTTTTTATGTTTATATAATTTAATATAGTTAACTTAATATATATCACACAAAGAGTAGCCTGCAAATATCAGCATGAACACATTTAATAATCATTTTATACAAGTTCAGTAACGCAATGTTACTTACATTTTAGACATAATATTGCTTGTTTTTGCTCAATTTTGCCAACGAAAATAGTTTCAAACAAAGATCACACAGCACTGTTTTGCGTCTCTGAGCAATGGTGTTTACTTACTGAATGAATCAGCTTTTTGAACAAATCGGTTGATAACAATGATTCAGGGATTCACTCATTAACGCAGTCGAATGCTTTGTTCCTGAATGAATCAGTCGTTTGAATGATTCAGTTGAATCTCAATGACTCACTCATTAACAGTCACTTGCTGCCACCTACTGGCAGTTTTAATTTCACATTTCGACTATTTTGTTTATGTTTTAAATTATTTCAAATATCAGTATTCAACGTTTTATGTTAAAAACAAAACATTATTTATGCATCTGTAACTGCAGGTTAAATGCATCCATGTCCCCTCTGAGATACATAAACTGTGTAAATACATCTAAATGCTATTTCAGATGCAGATTGCAGAAATGTTTTCTTATGTTGGAATGAAAGACACTAATTACCGGATGAAGTGGTTCTTATTCTTACCCAAAAATACAAAATGGAAGAAAGAGTTAAAACTGAACACAATCTTGCTACTCAAGCTGTGTATGAACATTTTTTATATATATTTATTTGCTTCTTTTCCATTTTGCATTTACTTGTACTTTTACTTTCAATACTTAAGTATGTTTAAGATTTAAAAAATAATTTTCGTACTTAAGTACAATAAATATCACATACTTTAAGACTTTTACTCTAAACGGTAATATTCTAAACGGTGACTTCAACTTCTACCAAAGTAATTTTCTGGTAAGATATCTGTACATTTACTTGAGAATGGCTTTCAGGTACTTTATACACCACTGCCTAAAACTAACTTTACCGCGCTATCAGAGCTTTATTAACAAAATTTATGATAAATGCTTACAAATGACAGTCCTGTGCTGTGACATATAATGTTATTTTGTTGAAATGTAGTTTTTAAAACAAAAATTATTACATCAAATTAATTGGCCAGTGGCAGTACCTGGCTGCTGGAGATGCTGCAGTGAGATGGCGATGTCATCAACTACAGACGGGCTTAGCAAACGTTACGTATTTACATGGGGGAGCATAAGAAGAGAGAATAATTAAGTTCACTTGTCCCTAAGTTTAAGATGTTAAATTAGTTATCTTAGGCAGTAAAGGACCTGTTGCTCGCCATTGCTACAACCTCGCTCGCCTCGTAGTGATTTAATTTTGATCTGAGCCAATTTTGGTGAAAATCAGACAAACTGTCTAGGACGAGTTAGAAAAAGTAGGTTATTTTAACTATTAAAAATATCGAAAAAACTAAACCTTACGATTTTAACATTTTTAACATTTTAACATGCCATTTGACTCGGCATGAGCCAAGGATTCAGAGGAAAAAATAAATTTTCTTCTAGACTTTATGGTTCAAAAGTTATAGCATAAACATGAGTTCAACTTTGGACAAGTGGTGGCGCTAGAGAGTTAGGGTTAGATACACCACATTTGCTGTGGTTAATGATGAGACTGTCCTCTATCAGTGTGCCAAATTTCACAACTTTCCCACAAGCGGTTCTATGGGCTGCCATAGACTTCCAGAATGGAAGAAGAAAAAGAAGAAGAAGAAGAAGAAAACTAACGGTTTCAGTAGGTGCCTACGCACCTTCGGTGCTTGGCTCCTAATAAATCCATACACATTTTAATTTATAAGAAAGAAAGAAACTTAGCAGAGGATGGTTTCGATCCATCGACCTCTGGGTTATGGGCCCAGCACGCTTCCGCTGCGCCACTCTGCTGTTATTGTAAATACGGCAACA